GGCAACCAGGACAACCTGGCACTGCGGGACAACCGGGTCAACCAGGCTACCCAGGACAACCGGGTCAACCAGGACAGCCGGGTCAACCAGGACAACCAGGCTACCCAGGACAACCAGGCCAACCAGGTCAAACAGGCTACCCAGGAAAACCAAGTCAACCAGGAACTCCTGGGCAGCCAGGTCAACAAGGCTACCCAGGGCAACCAGGACAACCTGGCACTGCGGGACAACCGGGTCAACCAGGACAACCAGGCTACCCAGGACAACCAGGCCAACCAGGCTTCCCAGGACAACCAGGCCAACCAGGACAACCAGGCTTCCCAGGACAACCAGGCCAACCGGGACAACAACAAGGCCAACCAGGACAAACAAGCTTCCCAGGACAACCGGGTCAACCAGGCCAAACAGGCTACCCAGGAAAACCAAGTCAACCAGGAACTCCTGGGCAGCCAGGTCAACAAGGCTCCCCAGGGCAACCCGGACAACCTGGCACTGAGGGACAACCGGGCAGTCCAGGCTACCCAGGACAACCGGGTCAATCAGGACAACCAGGCTACCCAGGACAACCAGGCTACCCAGGACAACCAGGCTACCCAGGACAACCAGGCTACCCAGGGCAACCAGGCCAATCAGGACAACCAGGCCAATCAGGACAACCAGACCAACCAGGACAGCAAGGCCAACCAGGTCCAACAGGCTACCCAGGACAACCCGGTCAACCGGGACAACCAGGACAAACAGGTCAACCAGGAACTCCAGGACAGGCAGGTCAACAAGGCTACCCAGGGAAACCAGGTCAACCAGGCACACCAGGACAACCTGGCACTGCGGGACAACCGGGCAGTCCAGGCTACCCAGGACAACCGGGTCAACCAGGACAACCAGGCTACCCAGGACAACCAGGACAACCAGGCTACCCAGGACAACCAGGTCAACCAGGATACCCACAAAAGCCTGGACAGCAAAGCACCACAGGACAACCTGGCGGACCTGTATATCCAGGACATCCAGGACAACAAGGCCAACCAGGACAACAAGGCTACCCAGGACAACCGGGTCAACCAGGACAACCAGGGACTCCAGGACAGCCAGGTCAACAAGGCTACCCAGGGCAACCAGGACAACCAGGCACTGCAGGACAACCAGGATCTCCAGGAACTCCAGGACAGGCAGGTCAACAAGGCTACCCAGGGCAACCAGGTCAACCAGGATACCCACAAAAGCCTGGACAGCAAAGCACCACAGGACAACCTGGCGGACCTGTATATCCAGGACAACCAGGAACTCCAGGACAACCGGGTCAACCAGGACAACCAGGTACTCCAGGTCAACCAGGAACTCCAGGACAGCCAGGTCAACAAGGCTACCCAGGGCAACCAGGACAACCAGGCACACCAGGACAACCTGGCACTGCGGGACAACCGGGCGGTCCAGGCTACCCAGGACAACCGGGTCAACCAGGACAACCGGGTCAACCGGGTCAACCAGGACAACCAGGCTACCCAGGACAACCAGGACAACCAGGCTACCCAGGACAACCAGGCTACCCAGGACAACCGGGTCAACCAGGACAACCAGGCCAACCAGGACAGCAAGGCCAACCAGGTCAAACAGGCTACCCAGGACAGCCGGGTCAACCAGGACAACCAGGCACAACAGGTCAACCAGGATCCCCAGGACAGCCAGGCACGCCAGGTCAACCAGGATCTCCAGGACAACCAGGACAACCGGGTCAACCAGGACAACCAGGCATGCCAGGTCAACAAGGCTACCCGGGACAACCAGGACAGCAAGGTCAACCAGGCCAGCCCGGATACCCTGGTTCAACAGAAGGTAATTATTTTTAATTCACACGCCTTTAATCCTTTTTAAAAGGGTTAAATCCCTGAAGTTCATCATTAATAAATGTTAATAATATTACAAATGCAAGAGTTTATCGTAAAGTTTTCGTAATTTAAACACAAAAAATAATTTACTTTGACTGTTTTCTTGAAATTTTAGAACATTTTAACTTTTGACCAACTTTGACAGGCTACTGTGTAAAAAAATGTATGAAGAGTACCACGGCACTAAATTACAAAAGTAGGCGCCACTCAAGATTCTAAAATGCTACAATACTATGATAAAACCTGCGAAAATTTTAAGAACTTCCTCATTAAGACCTAAAAGTTATTATTTTGTTTAGATATTAAGAATTTTATTAAGTGTTCAAAAATGGGTTTTCGGTTACAGATCCAGGATCTTCAATTAATAGTTATGTTACATAGGTAGCTAATACAAAAAAATTGCAGAAATATCTTCATATTTTTAGCCACAGTGCCTAAACATATGGTGGAGGGTATCAAATTATAAGAAAAGTTACAAAAGTTAAAGGAACTTTTAAACAAAAAGAATTGGATTTTTTGTATTTTTCCCCGAGTAGTTATTGATCTGGCTATACACCATTACCGTTTTAGAGTTGAATTTTGGGACACGCTCTATGTTCTGTAGCACATTTACTTCCTATGACTGAGGATAAACAATTTTTTTCGACGTCAAAATAATCTCATTCTCTCATATTCGTCTTAAACACATTTTGTTGCTCGTATGTTTAATCATACCTTGTTTAATAATACATTGTCTAATTTCAGGCGGTGACTCAGTTGGACAACCTTCAGGAACCGGAGTGCAACCACCAGTATACGCCCCTGTAAATCAGATGCCTCCATTCCCTATATACGTCATACCGTACCCTCTGCCCATTGTGCCAAGTCCTTCATCGTGCCCGTGCTATTTGCTGCAGCCAGGAAAGAATGACTCGACGGCAGTGTCTCAGCAACAAGGCCAAGGTTACCCGGTAAATCAGGGATACGCTCCATACGGTATTATAGGATTTATACCCGTGGTGTTTGTACCGAGCTGCCCAGGCAATGCAACAGATATGCAAACCGCGCAACAAAATTTCCCATCTGCAGTACCTGTGCCGTACAACTGCGCCCAGTGCCAAGCGAATAGGGGCCTTTATAGATACCGTGGAAGACTAAACGGCGCACGTAACGTAAACGACCTGAAAATGAACGACATCAAATTAAACGATTTACGTGAAATCCGTACTTTATCGGAACTGGAAACTCTTTTGAAAGATCAAATAAAACCAACAAGCCATCCAGCTATGCAGCCACTTGTCAAGACAACTAGTACGACGTCGGACCAACAAGATATTAAGTCGGACAGCAAGCTAGCTAGTGAGTCGGCCAGCAAGCCAAACAGTGAGCCTGCGAGCAAAATAGACAGTGAGCCAGCCAGCAAGCCACTCAGCAACGTACCCAGTGAACCAAACAGCCGTGCAAGGAAAATAGCTTTACGTCGCAAACTAATTAAAGATGTTAAGTCAGCTAAAACTGTCACGGCATTAAGTTAATGTATGAAAAATAAATTATTAAAAATATTAAGTTTGGTAATAGGGAGAGTAAAGTGATAAAACGCGTAAATAAATTTTGAGACTGTCTGATAATTTACCTTGGACGATCTCAAAATTGTATCATTTACATATTTATTGAACAAAATTACGTTTAATAAATAAAAAGATGGATCGAATTATGTAATATACTTATGTATGTATTAACAAAAATGTGTTACATGGTGGTACCATATTATGTTTTATATTTTAATACTTTCGACACGGACCTTTTGTAATTATCGAATAATAAATAAATAAATAAAAATACGAGAATTTTATTATTTCATCATATTTGACTATTTACAACTCGCCTTTACCCTTTATAGACTGTAAGCGACCAACCCCGAAATGCCCGTATAACAAAGATCACGCCAGATCACTTCCCTGTCATATCTGTACCCTTCCCGTTCATATCCCGTTTAAAACCTTGTGAAAACAGCCGCGTCAAGCGCGCCAGCTGATTTTTGTTATGTCAATCGTTTTTAATCGTGATATCTTCCAAACTGTTTATCAAATTATTATCAACAGTAAATTCTTCTAATAATGAACCCATTTATTTGGTTCATTTTTAGCCGACTTCAAAAAGGAGGAGCATATTATTAAGCTTGCATAAGACCTCCCAACAGCTCACCTACCATTTAATGATTAGGAAGTTGTAAATAAAAATCCGATTAGACAGACAATGAAATGATAATGCTTGTAGAACGACATATTGTGTCCATTTTAGATGGAATCATGGCATCTTAGTGAAGGACAGTTTGACTACAAAGTGACTCATTAAATCCGAGGAGACCATTGTCAATTACAAGCAAAAACTCCCACGGCTTAAAAGCCACGGGACGTATGCGCACGCACGCAGAGCGCATCTCCTATTCGCTAAGGGCACTACGAGTGTCAGTGCAGTCAGTGATTCGCAATACTTACAACAATAAACACCAATGTAAGTATATTATTACATCTCGTACCAAATATATTTAAGCGAGTTTAGATTACACATTGGTTTTGCTATTAAAATTATTCTACTAATGACCATGTTTAAACTATTATTTTATTGTTTATATTAAACAAAATACAATTTGTCTATTAAATTTAATTTTAAGGAAAACATAAAATAGTCATAAAATTTTACAATTCTATTTATCTCATAGTTTTATTTCAACTAGATTATCATTTATGTCTGCCTTCCCTGATTGTGTTAAATAACTATCTCAAAGTAAATCAAAGTGCAAATAAATAAAAATATTTTCCAAACAGATAAATATAACACAAAGAAACGACCAGACATTTATGATAAAGTCACACTAATCATTTATTTTAAAATTAATATTCGTAACATATTGGTACAGTTCCGGACGTAATGTTACAGAATACCCGTATAGGATGTGTATGTTAGATGCGATATTGCGGTTGAGGGAAATGTACACATTTTTTTACCCGCATATTTCCACTCGGATCATAGGCACACTTTCTATAAACGTAAACAAAATTCTATTAACATTCCTATAGTGCAAAATTTCTATGTCCTTTCTGTTGTTAATGGGCAACTTATTTTAAGTTTTTTATGAATCACGTAAAAAACATTCGAACAACTCCTCATATAAACGGATAGAAATGTTTCTATAACTTATTAAATAATCATATATTCTACGTGCGGATAAAGAACGTACATTTTTTTAATTCCGCGCAGACGAAGTCGCGGGCGACTGCTAGTTGAACAATAAAAGCGCATTTGCCGTACAGTGACTCATTCTTGCCTAGTTATTAAAGAAAAATAATTCTACTAAGTAGTACCTAATTAACTTGGCTATTTCCAACGTGCAAATTAAAAATAAATAAAGAAGAAAATTATCTGTTCCTTGTTACGGGGTTAACCCTTACGATTTTAAAAATATCACATTATAAAGGGAGTTGCAGATCAAAAAGACTATTGAGGTGAAAAGTTGTGAAATTAATGACGTCAGAGAAAGAAATTGTTTGATGCAATGCGATAATTATACTTAAAATGTATTTGTAAAATACACAAAAAAAGGTAGAACAAAACTAAGCTCTTGACGCTTGGTAGTGATCATCATATACAATCGATTCAAACATAAGTTTCCCATACCTAAATATTTAAAAAATATTTACAAAGGTAAAAAATGGCAATACGTTTACATCAGTGGAAACCTACCATCATAGTAAAGTTCGTTTTGCATTGTTCTTTCATTGGTCTTTCAACCAGAAGTTACCGAAAAGTCGCTATGAAACCAACAGTGTTTATAACAAAAACTATGCGAGTATTCAAAGCAATGCAAATTTTTTATAATTATGTGCAAGCATCACACTGAGTCTCATCACTCTGAGTCACATTTTACATGCATATTAATTCATGCTTTATTCCATATTTTAATTTTAACGCAAAGAACTTGAGCCTGTAGTAGAATTTTTTGGAATATTTTTCTTGTATAAGACACAAAGATTCTTTGTTTATTATAACGTGTAGAAACGTCATCTTCGCACGAATTGGCCCGGCTCGCCCGGTGAAATACCACGACCACACAGAAGACAGGCGTGAAGTGGAAGCAATTCCGCGTTTCGTCTGATAAGTGTGCGTCCCGGAGGCCTAATTTAGTCCTCTTTCCCTTTCCACCCTTTTCCTTATAAGGAAAGGATGGGAAGTGGAAGTGGACTTTCCGGATGAGAGGATGCATGGTAAGGGAAAATATTTTCTTTGTGTGCATCCTCCCCTCCGTCGATTAAAGGTAGGCAACGCATATGCGCATATGTCTATAAGCAACGGTCACTTCGCTATTTCAGCGATTTCAGGAGGGCGCTCGCTCGTTTGACAAAAAAAAACGATACGCGATTTTCGCGTTACCAACGTGTCACAAATATTTCTTTCACTGTACTCGTATGTATAGGAACATAATTAGACAAATTAAATATCTGTCTCTTATGTGTATGAAGAAATCTCAAAAAGTACGTTTTTTACGTAATATAACAAAGACTAAAATGTAAGATGTATTTTACAAGTCCTACTATACGAGTAGCAACCCTGAATCTTTTGATGGTTACTTACGTAATAGATTTCTATGCTACATTTATATTTTATAGGACGCTAAATATTAAATTAATGTCACAAATATTCAGGAAGTCCAAATTAAGATTATAATAGTGTTCTTGAAATGTGATAATAAATCACATAAAACAATAGCAACGTACGTGTTGTTCTTGAACCGTGGTAATGAATCGCTGACTGGACTTATGTTCAGATGTTAACGTGGGAATATTCTAACGTCGATGATTATCGTTCTAAGGGTCATTCTTAAGGTCAAGTTGCACACGCAAGTGAAAACCTTCACATCATTTTTGATTATAATTTGCAAACATCCGTGCTATTAATTATGTGACATGTAAATTTCTATATATCCAAACTTACCTATTATTTATACTACGACCTACTTTTTCTTTTTATTGTGAACAAAATTTTAATTGTGTATTCATTATTTTATTTCAGATGTGGAAGAAAATATTTGTTTTATTACCTATTATTTGCTGTATTAATGCAGTACCACAAAATAAAGAATATAACAGTAATGAAAAGGTTGAAAAGGACGATCTGAAGACAGCTGCTAGTTCATGTATGGATTAAACTTTTTAATAACACTATTCTTTTCATGGCGGTACTTAATTACCGAAATATTCTTTAACTAAAGCGATTCTCGCATATTTTTTCATACGCAATAAGTAAATAAAAATCTATAAATCCAGTCATCGGATAAAATTTCCATTGCTCTATGTGGCTATCGTAATTAGAGCTATTGCGATGTTTTGAGACCTTGGCAAGTAATTTACGACTTTGAATAACAATGTATAATCTATAAAATGTATTTATTTGTCACGTTAAGAATATTGGATCGTGATTTTTCCAGATAGTCATCAATATTCCGACTGGGGCGGCAGCTCTCCCGGCGGGTATGGATACAGCGTCACCGGGTTTGGATTGATCAACGATAAATATGATGCAAATTACGGCGGCATTTCCGGACATAATACCTATCCCACAGCTGGGTATCCCGGATACAGTGGTGGCGCAGGTTTAGTTGGATCCGCACGCCCGCTCAGCGGTGCCGGGTATGTAGGGAACACGGGATTTTCCGGGAACTCGGGATATGCCGGGAACTCGGGATTCAGTGGCTACAAAGGTTACGGAGGATACAATCCAAATTTGTACGGAAGTAACGGAGGCTACGGAACTAACTTAGGTTATGGAAGTAACGGAGGTTTTGGAGGAAATGGAGGTTACGGAGGCTACGGTGGCAACGGAGGTTTAGGCTCCTACAGCGGATATAACAATCCATACTACCAAGGATCCAATCATTTGGGCTACGGCTACTATCAACCCGGTAACATATACAAAGGCGGCAGCATCACTCCGAGCTACGTCAATGGTTATAGAGGATATACAAGGAGATAGATGGGAGTAAATTAAGAAAAATATATATATTTAGGAATTATATCATACAATTAAGTACCAAAGTATTTTCCAAAGTAAAATTTAAGTAACAATTATGAAGTTTAAATTTACATGAAGAAAACCCAACCCAAATCATTTAAAAAATAAAATTCTTTATATCACCTATGTATAAAAATACAATGACAAAAATTCAGCAATGTTACTCCGAAATTTCCGTTGTCTGTAATCAATTCTCTACAAAGACAATCACATGTCTTTCTCTCTTTGGAGGCTAATTAGCTCAAAGTTTAACTAAATTGTTTATCTCTTTACATCTCAAAACAATTATGAATAAGAGTAGGTGTGTTTAGGGAAGAAATAAAACATTGTAAATGTTTAAAATTTTATTACTAACAATAAGACATCCACGTATTATGTAAATTATATGCCATAGTATCTTAAATTGTTACATACCGTAAAATTAAAACATTCAAATTGAAAACTTACACGAAAATGTTACGAAAGAGGTTTTCTAATCGGACCCGGAAGCACTCGCCTGCTTCTTCATAGATTTCAACGCTCTTTCGCGTAACTTCTTCTCCAGGTCTTCATTGTTTACTCTTCCTTCCTCTTCTTCCTCTTCACCTTCCTCGCTATCAGAAGAATCATCCTTCTTCTTCGATGATTTCTTATGTTTCTTGTGTTTCTTATGTTTCTTCGAATGTTTCTTATGCTTTTTAGTTTTCTTAGATTTCTTGGGTTCATCGCTCTCAGAATCCGATTCGGAATCAGAAACTTTCTTTCTAGGTTTCTTTTTCGATACATGATCACTATCAGATGAAGATTCTTCCTTCTCTCGTTTTTTACCTTTCTTTTCATTGTCATCGCGAGATTTGGACTTCGTTTCGTCCACATGCTTTGCTCTGACAGACTTCTCCTCGCCCTTGCGAGGCTTGATATTTTCGGGAGAAACGCCTTTTTCTTTCACCGATTCCAGTTTCTTACGTTTTATTTCTTTCTCCGAGCTACTAGAATCATGTTTAGCAACTTTTTTCTTATTAGATTTAGCATCACTGTCTGAACTATCGTCATGGGAATCCTCTGAATTGTCAGTTTTTTTCAACTTTGACTGTTTACTGTCTAGCTTTTCAATTTTTGAGCGATCCATACTTGCTTCCTTGGTCCTCTTTTTCGGCTTTTTCTCAGAATCAGATTCTTCTGGAATGTTCTTTTGTTTTGATTTTGAACTCTTGTGTTTGACCTCCTCTTCTGAGCTGGATTCCGAGCTTGAAGACCGAGTGCGCTTCTTTTTAGATTTCTTTGCTAGTTTCTTTTTAGCGCTTCTCTTGCTTTTCTTCTTCCTATCATCTTCGGAGTCACTCGAAGATGAATCTTCCGAGTCACTGTCACTAGAAGAGCTTTCTTTTTTAGGTTTTTTAGCTCTCTTTGATGTAGTTTTCTCCTTCCGCTTAAGCTTCGGCTTATTCTTAGCTTTAGCAACTTCCTCACTAGTTTCGCTTTCACTGTCCGATTGGTGGGCTTTTCGCTTTGACTTTTTAGGTTCCTGCGTTTTAGTTTCTTCTTCATTTTGTTCTTTTCCTGATGCGTCATCCGCGGATCTATCAGATTTTTTATTACCTTCAACTTCGAGTTTTCTTAAGTAAGGTGATGGGGTACGAGACAAACTCTTAGAATATTCCCTTGTGTTCGGGATGGGTAGAAAATCTTCCCGGTCCTCGTCATCCGAAACTTGAGATGGTTTAGGTCGGCTGTCATTAATCGCAGCTGATTTGTCATTTGCAACCGACGATTCTCGACTTGAACTCGAAACATGCTCCTTCGAGGTTTGTTCGGGTGGGATGGAGGTACGTTCAGTTGGCTTCGGTAGTTTATCAAAGTTCTCTGGGGAAAAATAATATAAAACTTCAAATCACGAAACCCGAAATATAGCGGAAAGTTAAACGCCGTTATAAGTAACAAAATTTCCAAGCACCTAATGAAGCTAATACTGACCTTTTCTTGGTATAGACACAGATTTTTCCAAGCGTTCTTTAATGATGTCACTGGACCTTCTGTCACGAGACTTCCTCTCCTTCGATCTTCTGTCTCTAGTACGATCACGCGATTTTCTTTCCCTATAGAAAACATTAGTAAATGAAAAAAGCTACACGCAAAAAAACAAAGAAATTGAAATTGTACGCGCGTTGCTTTACCTGGACCTGTCCCTGGAGCGGCGATCCCTGGAGCGTCGGTCCCGGGAGCGGCGGTCACGGGAACGCCTGCCGGAGCGGCGGTGCGAGCGAGAACGCTTGCGGGAGCGGGAGCGACGGCGATCACGGGACCTAGCAATTTAAACGTTAGCCACTGTGACGTCACCGCAACTCCAGCCCTTCTAAACTGATCACCTCGGGCGGCGCTTACTTTAATGATGTATTTCATTGAATCATCATTACATATTAGATCAAAAGTAAAGAAAACTTTTCCTTTCCTTGCCATCGTAGCTATTCAGTTGATAGACTTACAAACATCGTAATATAGCAGTTTTAAGTAAATTTAAATATTAAAATTTTACACTACGATTAGTGAAAAGCACATAGTGGTAATGGTCAAAGTCCAGATTTGATTTATAGACTTAATTTATCATAATGTCTGCTATACTGCTCGGAAGTATGAACAGAATAAATTATTCCAATTCCTATATGTATAAATGAATATTTGTAAACAAATACAGGTTTATAACATATTCACTATACATGAAGGTTTTTTTGGTAAAAAATTATAAGCACCGAGCGAGTTTCAGTCTTAGGACTTCAGAACTGAAAAAAACATTCACAGTATGCATGCATGGTATGATGGATGTGACAGAGACAGTGAAAACATTTTCTCTATGAAATTTAGTTGAATAAAAATCGACGCCAGCAAGCATTATTACAAATCTTTATTTCAAAGTTTAAATTAAGCATGCTATAAATGAAGAGAATTGTTATGTTTTAAAGGTTCAAAAAGTTCCTCGTTTTGTATATAAATATATAATATGTATTATGTGTTAAGTATGCTGTTATTTGGCAAGCATAAGAAATTTAAGATATGAAGACGATGAACGAATTTTAGGGACGCACGTTAAGATTCTTAATTGAATATTGTTAGCCAAAATATACAAAGAAAATATTTGAATCACCCACACCTCTGAACTTATTTCTTCCAAGTATTTGTTTCATTTGGTATATTGATATATCTTTCCTCACTATGAGATCAACGCGTTATTTGCTTGTGGTGCTAATAATTTTGGTACTTTTTACAAAGGAAACCCAACAACTTCTTTTTGTATATGTCAGTCCAATAATTTATTTAACAACAAAATCATTAATCTTACTTCTTACTCCCTTACTAATATTATAATTCAGTATGGATCTTGCTGAAATTTAGAATAGATTATGAATATAGCCAAGAAGAACACATAGGCTACTTATTTTTTTTTTTAGTTCCGCGAGGACATAGTCGCGGACGACAGGTAGTCTTTTAAAAGTAATTTCAGATTGCCTCTATTTGTGAGTTATTAATAAAACTATATTATAGATTAAGCTTTAGTTCAGAGATATCAATTCCATAGAATTAGTTATTAGATAAAATGTGAAACGTGCGTTCCTAGATAAGAAGCATATCCGGGGATACTTAAAAACCAATATTACCTGTCTCTTGAACGTCGTCGAGAGCGCGTTCGTGACCGTCTACGTCTCTCGAGCGATCGACGACGCTCTCGGGACCTTTCGTGGGTAAACAGAAGCCGTTAAACCAAACGCAGTGCCTGATGCACTACAAACACAAATCATAATCTTGCTAGCACTTGTTACAGCTACCGGATCGATGTATGCAATATGCATTATGCATTATGTACACTACCAAAATTCAAAGAAACGCTAAAATTAACCGATCAAACAAGATTTTATACAACATCGTGTTTACGCAATCGCTTAATGAAATTGTCGCATTTATTTATTTTTTTACTTTTGACTTTTGTTGATATATGACGACTTATTTGATACCGTTTTATAAAATCATATTTGTCGATCATAATTAAGAATTGCAATATTATAATTTGAACTTTATAAAAAGAAAATGCAATAGTAATATAATTGTAAAGAAAAGATAAATATAATAATATTAGTGAAGGTTACCTGTCGCGCCTGTCTCTCTCGCGGCGACGACGCTCCCTCTCTCTTTCCCTCTCGCGTTCGCGCTCACGCTCGCGCTCCCTCTCGCGGCGGTCGACGGACCGGCGACGACTGCGGCGCCTAGATTTACTCCTATAAACAATTAAATATAAAATAACAAATAGAAGGAAAAAAACTTCGATATTATTTGTCCTAAGCTGGAGAATCAAAATCTGTCCGGATTGATTTTCACAGGACTTGGATGGAATCGTAAGTGATGCACACGGACATATAATATACATAAAACAGGCTGCTTTATTTAAATTCTGCTCTGTCGGAGTCGCAAGCGACCAAAAGTAGCTAATATGTTTTGAAAATGGTGTTGTTAAAAATTCCTTGAACCACTTCGACAATAGGATAGCTTCGTCGTGCTCGTCTTTGTATTACTTGAGTCACATTTAGGTAAAGTGTATTCCCCTGTAAGACGTACCTTTCCCTGCGCGAGCTGCGACGCGGGCTGACGCTGGTGGAGGAGTCGCGGTTGGAGCGGTACTGCCGCTTCTTGTGCGACGATCTCTTCTTAGCGCTGCCATCTGTAACAAATATCATTGCTTTTTATTCATCCTTTCGTACCGAGCAATATGTAGCACATTCAACTGACATCAATTTACAACAATATACAGAAGGAACATAAGATACACAGTAACTTTAAATAAAACACCTAACTACAATACGACACCCATTTGAACATAGAAAATTAAATAAAATTAGTGTTTTGATTTAACATTTCAAGTCTCATAAATTGCTCTTTCTCGACCTAACAATAACAGATTTCACACAATATGTTTTTAATTTTTTGTCCTGTTTTCTATACAGTTGTAAGTTGTTCAAGTGATAGAAATTTCATATTATTAAAATCACGAAAAATGTTAGTAAGTTTCGGTTATTTTTTTTTTTTCATTTTAAAATTCAAAACTGATTATAAGCCAATGGTTAATATCGTTGAAAAAGTAAAGTTTTTGATAGTATACTAATTTTATAACCCTGTCTTATAACATGTATAAAAAATACGACAACGTGCATGAAATAAAAACAAAACATTCGAAACAACTAATCTTCAATGAAAACTTACTAGTGGCCGATACCCCGTGTGGTCCGGCGTTGACCGCTACTTGACGATCCAACAAAAAAAAATCAAATTTTAATTTGTCAAAAGATTTAGACATATCGAAAAATACTTTACATCCTATTTTCTTTATAGATGTCAATCAAAAGTATTTTTGTGTTGATTGTTAAGTACATTTAAATACGAGACATGGTCATGATAATTTGACAAATTAATGATTTAAATTTTAATTAAACATCGGCAAATTTATTACACTTAATTCTATATGATATTTAAATCTAGACGAAATACTTCATGGTTACCATACTATAGAGCATCACATATAATTGTAAACAAAACTTACGAGACGAGGCCGAAGATGAGCGTCTCTCGCTCGACGAGTGTCTAGTTTTCTCTGGAGGTTTCGCCTCAGCTTCCTTCTCAGCACCGCCACCGGTCGATCTAATACAATTATAAAAAAATATTGTTTAAAAAACAACTGTTTAAAAAAAACAGTCTCGCAACTGACTTAACAACTTGACGTGAACCTATTTGCTGTATTTGCAATCTAACAATTATTAACATTTGAATTTATAAATACTATTTCACTATATTCAAAGAAACTTACTTAGCGGGTGAAGCTGATCTAGATTTGTGACCATCCTCTTCGGTCTTCTCCTCCTTTGGCGCTTCCTCGGGTTTGTCATCTTTTACATTCTCTACAGAATCGTTGTGGTCATCCTCTACCTTCTCCTTCTCTTCTTTCTTCTCTGGTGACTTGCCATTTTCTATAATAGATGAAATAAATGAAATTCTTAGAATAACTTATCTTACAAAATTTACAAGAAAATTATTGTATTCTAGTCGTTCCTCCTTCTTAAATGAATAAATTAAGAACTAAAGTAAGCTAAAATCAAAAAATGTATTATTTATATTAAAGTATTGTAAAAAGAAACGAAGACACTTTAAGTAAACAGTAGTAAAAATATCAAGTAGTTAGTATTAAAAAAAGTTTATCATTTAGAAAATGTATTTTGTGTGCAACATTTGCAAACCTTTAGGGTCGGGTAGTTTAATGTCGTCAATGTTGGAGGTGTTGGCGCTGGCGCTGGCGCTGGTGTTGTGGGCGGGGCTGCGGTCACGGCTGCGGCTGCGGCTGTGACTGCGGCTGCGACTGCGGCGGCGAGAGCGGCGCGGACTGCCGCCGTTGCGATGCCTGCTAACATGTTTTCTATTCAACTCCATAATAACTGCTCTAAACCATTTCATTTAAGTGCTTTACATGTATAAATGTTCCTTATGAAACATAATTTTAACCAATACTTTGTGAAGTATCTTAATTATTAAAGTAGGCCATCTTTAGATCTTATCTCGTCAAGACAAACTCAAGACTTACAATAAGTGAACCAAGTGCACAACACTGGCTTGTTTGGGGCATTTAAAAAGTAAGCGTAAAACTAATCTGTCTAGTACACATAATTGTCACAAGTCATCACTTAACACACAATACATCATAATACAATGTTTTTTGACAAAGGAACTCAATTTAGTACTTTAGGCATGAATAAGATACTAACTTCCTATCGCTGGAGCGATCGCGGGACCTTGTACGCGAACGGCGACGTTCACGGGACCTGCGGCGGCTGCGCGACCGTGACCGTGACCGCCGGCGATCCTTCTCCTTGTCCTTTTGCTCCTCCTGGCGCATACCACATTTAGAACATTTTTCAAATTTGCAACAACTACGCAATACTTAAACCATCATTTAACATTAATAAATATTAAATTAGGCAAATTGTTTATTCACCACCACGCTCACTCACCATTCTCTTCTTGATCTCTTCTTTTTTCTGCTGCGTGAAGCTGTCTGGGATGCCGTTTTCGCTAGCCTGCGCGCTCAGCAACAACTCCCACAGCTCGCCCATAAACAGCCGCGCGTTCTTGCCGTTCAGGAATCCCGTCAAGTTAATCTGCATTTTCTTTGGACAAGGGAACTAGGAGCCGAGGATACGGATCGGGAAAGAAAAGATTCTCTAGTTATTAATTTGTTCAATTTGAAAACTATATACACTTGGGCTCGCATCGAATGTCCCTTTCATGATTACAGTATCGGTTCCAATATTTATCGGAGAAATATATTTGAAGGACGTTAAGAGCGCCGACTTTATATTGATGTAAGGTTGCTACAGAGCGTCAAAATGACTCGGGTAGGGAAGCGAGAGCCGTGATGAACACAGGTATATAAGATATGATGAGGGCGCGAGCTGGCCGACGCGAGCTGCGCTGACGCGAGCCGCGCCCGCCGACACGCTACGGCGACACCCGCTCGCCGCTCCGCTACCGCCGGGATCTCACACCGCCAACGTACATTTCTTTCTTCGCTCTTCAAGCTCTTGCATCTGTAAGGGGTTTGCGAACACAACCACATTATGCTGAACGCAGGGCCTAACGAACGCGGCTTCCCTACCGCGAGTCAAATTATTCTCTTAACGTCTTCCGGACTCCCTAATCGACTCTTCTCAAGTAAATATCGCCATATCGCTTATGGTTTTAATTGAGTTAGCATTAAGTAATTTCCCCGTAAATACCGATTGAGAATGCTAATGGCGTCCGTAAGAGTAGGGCCGCGGCGCGCTGCGACGGCTGGCGACGGCAGGCAGCGGCGACGGCGGCGCGCTAGCCGGTGGGGACCATAAAAATATCCATACCAAATCAATATACATTTGACAACTTTCAATTGCAGTTTCTTAACAACAGTCATACCTCTTTTAATATTTACCATTTATTTAAACATTGACTGTAAAGAAACTGCAATGATTACATTTTTTTTTTATATTATTAAAAATTAAAGACATAAACAAAAGGATTTAGTCACCTTCTCTTCAAGTTGATTGTTGACATAATCGATGACTACATCATCTTCCATCTTGAGAATTTCAGTGATCTTCTGCGTGATCCATGGCTTCAGCACATCCAGTTTCACCTTCGACATGTCCACCTGTTGATAAAATAAACACAATACTGTAAAATTTAACGAAAAAAGCTTTGCACCTGATTGTGTTAAATGTGGTAAAAATAAATTCATAGTAACTGAAAAGTCAAAATAAAAGAAAATAACCTGTTGAGTCAAGCAATCTCCAAACTTCATCTGCTTCATCAGCTTCTTCTCCTTGTCACTGAAGCGGGTGTCCTGCTCGGTGCTGGTTCCCTGTTTGTGGTAACAATAAATAACACATGTAGCTCATAATATTTTATTAAATATTGTTAATTATATATATTTGTTAAAGATGGCAGAAGTTTATTCCAAACAATAATTTAAATTTATATAAGTTACATGGTGATAGCAATAGATTTAATATTAAAAACTCATGTTGCCATAGCTATGTATATATGTTAACATATCCAATCATAATTAACATTCAACCCAAATATTCCATAAGCACCTTTGATATTAAATAATTCATAATACTAGGGATTTTTATTGTATTCCCAATACTATTAACCTAATAGTATTAGATCCAATAAACTTCTGTTGCCCAATGAGCAAACTATACCAATGGAATACCACTAACTCACAAAATAAAAGTACAAAGTAGAAGTTAATTTTTTTAAAGGCTAGTAATATTGTATTACGATGATGAAGTTAATTAAATAAAAATGTTATTATAGGAAGTAGAACATATTTGAAATTAATAATACTATAATTGGAATTTACTTTAGAATTTTTTTTTTAGAAAATATACAATCAGGTACATCTTGTGCCTAAATACCCACTTATACCTACATCAAATTTAGAAGTATAACAGCCTTGATCATGCTTTAACTTAGGTTAGTTTATTTTGTAAAACAAAACTTTTATTTACTATCGATATGGTGTTTTATAAACATGTTGTAAAACGCTTATTCAAGTAAACACGTTCACGTAACGTAATTCGAAATTTTAACAAAACTAATTATGTGCAAAGAGCCATTGGCACATAGGCTTTATTGACAGCGAGATAACCTATCTTTATAGATGTTTGAGGAATATTAGAGGTAAATTGCTGCTATTGCATATTTAATAGCCAGTTATTAAAAATAGACGCTATACCTAAAATGATGATTCGGTACTATAACCTAATTAAAACAATCGAATGTACATTATTGATTTGTACGAGTAAATCAGAAAAAATAAGAGTCAACTAAGTTTGATTAACATAAGGAAAATTATTCCAATTCTATAGCAAAATAAAAAAGACAAAATCTTACCGTGTACATCATCATTTTTAACAATATGTAAAATCAATAAAACTAGAAGCAAAGACTCCGTGAAGCCTGTGAAAAGGCGTAAGCCGCCACAAATTGTTTTATTAATACTATCTAGTGTTATTGTAGTCCTTTAAATAACTTTAATGCTGAATATTCTTCTAAAGAAAAAATCCATTTTGTTTTAAAACTACTTGCACAGAAATCACAAGAACAACGATTTAACAATGTGACCAACCGCCATATTAAAAAACAAGATGGCTTCTTGGCTTCGCCGATCTTCCAAAACCAAACGCTTCTTGTGTAAAATGTTGCCACAATATCCCTGACACTGACAGTAACATCAACCCACATGGTGGTGAACGGGGGCCAAAATATTTAACGGTAGAAATTGATATTTTGTGGATGGCAATACTCTTAAAAATTCTTATCTTTTACTAGGGGGTGACTAAGGCTTATCTACAGTAAACCACGTTGGATTAACTGGCCCAATGTAAACTGTTTGGTTAAATGTAAATGTTATGAAATACAAAAACACAGTGGTTCTGACCGACGGACTACAAGCCCGTTCTTAGTCGCAGTGCCCCTGACACTTGTCATCTGCAATATCTTTAGAAGCAGTAGATACCTTGTCCCCTTTAAATGCACTACGGTTGTTACGTACAGAAAAACGATATTTAATCTTTTTAAACGCCTACATCTAACCCCTCCTCACCCTTCCCTTACAATTATTTTCTTTCAAAATATTATAATTTCTTGAAAATGGTCAGAGGGATAAAAAATCAGATTTTGGATTTCAGCACATAAACTCATCAGGCGAAACGTGGAAAACTTCCACTTTACGCCAGTCAACTCTAAGGTGGTGGACTTTGGATTCTATGACTGATGAAATTCAGGAAATATTTTTTTCAAATGCTATAACATGATCAACAGTGACCCAATACTACTAAATTAGAAAGGGAAAGCCAACTTATTTTACCTCTGTTTCCTATTTTTATATTTCCTTTTTTTCTCAAGATCTCTCCAAATCTCTTTTATATTGGTTTCCATGGTAACGTTATCTCGTCATTATTCAATAACACCCTGCATTTTGACATTTATCACACGATCATTTTCAAACCTTTTGCAAAGTTATCGTCAATAATAGTAGTGTAATGTAATGTAGGTAGTATACAAAAATACTAAGACAATTGCGTAAGCTATAAGCGTTGTTGATGTATTATTTGTGAATGTCGTGGAATTAATCAACTGATATAACGTGATCTTTGACATTGATGCAAGAGATTATTGTCACACTTATCATAATTTAAACTCCCGCTATTAGTTCAGTATAAACTTGTTCGCAGGAAGTATAAGTTGAAGAATCATGTGTATTATACGATTTTATCTAGGGGAGGCGTTTAGTGCACATAAAACCAATGAAATATTACAAAAGTTAAAATTCGTGGACTCCGATGTTTTGGATTTATCGACAGAACTGTGTTACCACGTGGAAGTTGAGGAGGGCAATTTAAATATTAACCAAATTAAAATTTTGAAATGGCTTTTAAGTTCTCCTTTACATCCGTACGCTTTGAGAAACGAATCGTCTTATAAATGCTTGCAAAGTAACCAGTTAATTATTGAAATAGGACCCAGGTAAATATTTACTCTTCTGCTTTTTTGGATTTTGTATAATTTAATAAAGACATATGTAATTTTCTAGCAAACTTACTTTAGTTTCTAACTATTTTTTTTTATTTTAAAGGGTTAGTATTACAATATTTACTAGTTAATTTAATTTTTTTTTTCTAATAGTCAAAATTTACTTTTTACATGACCAACTCTCATAAATCTGCAACTTTACATTTACATCCCCTTACACTTTTGTATACATACTGGAAATTGTATTAAAGTAAGCATATTTTTTTCAGATTTAACTTTTCAACTGCTGATTCAAGTAACTCTGTTCAAATTTGTGAGAGTGTTGGTTTGAGAGATGTTGTCCGTCTTGAGTATTCTACTAGGTACCTCATTACATTTAAACAAGCCAAAAATGTCTCAAAGGAATTGTTTGAAGAATTGGCTGCACCATTACATGATAGGATGACACAATGTATTTATACAAAAGAAAACCTCCCTCGAAACAGCTTTAATGAAGCTTTACCAAAAGATTTAGAACCTTGGTATGTTGTGCCTTTACAAAAAGAGGGTATGACAGCAATGAAAGCTGTTAATCAAAAATTAGGTAATTTGTTTAATTAACCCTACAAAAAAAACCCACTTGTGTTTGCTTTTCACTAGTTTTATTACAGATATGGCTAAATATATTGTTCTGTACAACTAAGTAATTTGAAAAAGACAATGTTTATGTAATATATTATAATAAAAGTAGCAGAAGTCTAAGTTACTAATCTAGAGTTACTACTCGTGGAAAAATTAATGCTTTAACCTTTTGCTGCAATCAATAATTAGTAATTGTGTTTACAGGTTTAGCTTTTGATGAATGGGATATGGAATTCTACATGAATTTGTTTGTAAATCAATTACAAAGAGATCCGACCAGTGTTGAGTTATTTGACCTTGCTCAAAGCAATAGTGAACATTCAAGACATTGGTTTTTCAAGGTAACAACATCAATTGATATTTTACTCCTAGTTTATATATATATTTTTTAATTAATTACAGAGTATATCTTGTTTTAGGGCAAAATAATATTAAATGGAAAAGAAATAGAGGAATCACTTATAGATATGGTGGCATCAACACAAAAGACATCAAATAACAACAATGTTATTAAATTTGGTGATAATAGCAGGTTAATATAACTTATTATTGTTATATTTGACCTTTAATTATATTATTTTTTTATAATGAATAACCAATAATTATTGACATTTTTAGTGCTATCAAAGGTTTTGAACATAAGAAACTCAGGCCAATTGATGTAAGAGGGCCATCTCAAATAGTACAAGAGACAACACAGTCTGATATTATTTTTACTGCGGAGACACACAACATGCCTACTGCGGTTGCTCCCTTCAGTGGAGCCACAACTGGCACCGGAGGAAGGATCAGAGATGTTCAGGGAGTGGGTAGAGGTGGACACACGGTTGCTGGTACAGCGGGCTATAGTGTTGGGAATCTCCTTATTCCAGGCAAATATTTCTATTAAAATTATATACGTATTGCTAAATTCGGTTAAAACTTAAATATGTGTACTTTAAGATTGATACATTTCATTGCACATAATTTCTTATGTTTTTTAAGATTGTTTTATTTGTTTATTTTTCATAATTTTATTTTATTATTGATTTTAGGTTATGATTTACCTTGGGAAGACAAAAGCTGGAAATATCCGAATAATTTTGCGAGTCCATTGCAAATTATTATTGACGCTAGCAATGGTGCTTCAGATTATGGCAATAAATTTGGAGAGCCAGTTATATCAGGTGTGTTTTTATATATTTTATTTCCTTTTTATATGATACATATATTAAAATATAATATAATTAAAACTTAACTTTTTTTACAGGATTTGTCCAATCATACGGATTGAAAAATGGTGATAATGTAAGAGAAGAGTTTGTAAAGCCCATAATGTTTAGCGGAGGAATAGGATACATGCCACATAGTATGATTAAAAAGAACAAACCGGAAAAAGGTGAGTAATGGTTGGTTTCTGAGATCTCTGTATAAAACATATCATCATCCCTGTCATTATCTTTGACAAAATGGAGATAACAGTATGTTTTAAATGGGGGATTTGATCACAGAAACCCACGATTAATACTTATTATAAACATAATTAAAGATTAAGTGTGTAATGTATAATTTCATATGTTTTACATTTTTCTTTATTGTAATAGGAATGCTGCTAGTGAAGGTTGGAGGCCCAGTGTACAGGATCGGTGTGGGCGGAGGCGCGGCGTCGTCAGTGGCGGTCCAGGGCGGGGATTCCAGAGACCACGCCCTCGACTTCGGGGCGGTACAAAGAGGTTAATATGTAACTGGGCTTTGTTTAAAGGGTATGCATGCAATATCTTAACATACTAACATATTTGTTACAAAATCATCCATTATTAATCTTTTAATATTAACTTGGGATAAATGCTTGGAATTAAAAAAAAACTGCTGATTTCCATACATCATATCGATTTAGACATGGTTTACCTCTAAGTTTTATTACTTGAGCCCTAAGTTTGTTTCAGCTTTTGTCATCCATATTTAAATGGAATGTCAGACGGACTAACTATTAACTCTCCATAAGGTAATAATATACGACTAACATTTTATAGTAATAATTATTTTACTAATGCTTCTACATTTAATATATCTATTGTTCAAATATTTATAAGTGCATGTTATTTGGCAGGTGATGCTGAAATGGGAAATCGTCTGAACAGGGTCGTAAGAGGTTGCCTAGAAAGTGAAATAAATCCTGTTGAATGTGAGTTTCTTTTATTTTTTTCTAAATTATATTGATTAATTAAATGGTCAGTACTTATTATTATCTTACTAATATTATAAATGCGAATGTTTAGATGGATGTTTGTGTGAAGGAATGTCCGGAATGGCTAAAAGGATCTCACTAAAATTTGGTATAAATGTAGAAAAAAGCCAGTAAGAACGGATAGGCCACTTATAAAGTTTTTTTTTTAATTTTGTGCGCACGGAGCCGCGGGCGACAACTATCTTTTAATAATACACAATCATTGTATGACACAGAGTGTTGTATTATTTTAAAATAGTTATGTTGACTGTTGTTGACGTTGATTGATCCTTTCCTTGTAGCAATCCACGACCAAGGCGCCGGTGGTAACGGCAACGTATTAAAAGAACTAGTGGAGCCCGAGGGCGCGGTGGTGTTCACCAAGGAGTTCCAGCTCGGAGACCCCACCATCACTACGCTGGAGCTCTGGGGTGCCGAGTACCAGGAGAATGATGCGTTACTCTGCACCAAGGAGAACCGTCCTATCCTTGAAGGTGAATTAAAAAAATCTGACTTACAGGAGGAATTTATATATTCGACAATTTTATGTTGCTTAACAATTGAACCTATTTTGATAAGCGTAGTCGGTCATGTTTTATTATAAAAAATATATAAATAGTGCTTTTTATTTTTTTTAAGTTATAATATGATTTTTCTTAAATTACAGATATTTGTAGAAGAGAAAGATGTCCAGTTTCATTTGTTGGTGAAGTGACAGGCGATGGTTACATGAGTCTTGTTGAAGATTCATACAAGGAGGT